GGTCACAAAATTTCCTGACCCACTTTTAAATCGAATGCAGCAAGTTTCATTGAGATTCACCCAACTGCGAAAATTTGGTAGATTTATTACTTCATTGCCTCTTCTAAACGGAGTCTTCAAGCTTATTTTGTACTGGTGTTCTAAGATTAATTCTTTATTATCTGGATCACCTTACCAGAAAAAAATATCTTTATCTTGGATAAAAAAATACCTTCAAAACAAATAATGGAATATATTCTTAATAAATGATGACGTTCAAAGATTTCTATTCTTTCTTGAAGCTAACATACAATCCATTGTAGGTAATTGTGCTACTATCTATTATTCCTCTTTCAAGAATCTATAAAAAATGGCAAATTTTGAAAACTCTGTCATTATAATATTGTTCTAAAGCTATTTTTTTGTGGAATTTTAAAGTAATTATTATTTAAATGAGAATAAGCCACAATTAAAGATTTGAGTTCGTTTATTGACGTTTCAATTTGCACTTCAGAAATCGTTCTCAAAATACAAATGTTTTTTGTATTTTGAGAATGATTTCCGAAGAGAAAATTGAAACGTCAATAAACGTACTTTAATCTTTAATTGTGGCTTATTCCCATATAAACAATAATTTCTGTCATTAGAGTATGTTCGAGTGCTATGAGTTCTTAGTATTAGTAAAACTCTTTCCAACTAGTTATTCCTTAAACCACTTGGTTTAAGAGTTTTAAGAGTTCTAACGCTTCACGTAAACACATAACCACCACATACGGACTACTCTATAAATATGGTAATATATCCATATAATTGTTTATTTTATTCAAACTAAAATAACCTAAAATGACTTCTAAATATCTTAAATGAAAGATCTTTTTTAATAAAAATAACACCAGCAAACTTAATTAAAACCAAATTCTCACAATTTTTCTAATTACCCTAATTTTGTTGATCTAAATTTGGTGTTCATTCTACCGTCCCCACTTGAGTAAAATGTGAAATAATTAAAAAATAATACATAATATTAAAATCGATAATAAGAATAATATCGTATAGAATTATTTTTTACCTCTTACTATTAATTAGCTATTTTAGGTAACTAGTGTCGATGCAAAGTAACTTTCCCAGGGGGACCGACGGCTTTACGTGTCCTCCGAAGCACGGTGATGTTTTGTACCATTTGTAGAAATGAAAGTGTCGTTGTTAATACCAAGAATCGAGTTTTATTTAAAAAACCAGTAATTTAGCCGTTGAGCTACAGCCGCCACATTAAAACTTTATTTCATAACTTGAAAATGGTGTGGCTATTTTCTGGCGGAATTTTAACGTTCTTCTTTTTCTTCATGTACAATGTCCTTTCAGAACGTTGGTTACCATCATAGCTATCCTAATTTTATTCACTGCCACCCTAAATAGCATGCTTGTATCAACCCCATACCAATCTCGCAAGTTCTTCAACGTTGTTGATTTAATACATTTAATGAAAATTAACCACAAGTTGAATATACGTTTATTTTGATGTTTTGATTTTCACTTCAGAAATCGTTCTCGAAATACAAATATTTCGAATACTTGCTTAGCTAAAATTGTGGTTTAGTACCATTAAAGATAATAAACTGTATTAAAAACTATGAGTGACAATGAATACAGCGCCAAAACAGAATTAGAGAACATAATTAGATTCTTCTTCTTAGGGTGCCTGTCCGTTCCGAACGTTGGCGATCATTCTGGCTATGATAATTTTGTTGGTTGCTATACGAAATAGCTGTGTTGAGGTCTTCTATACCATGCTCTCAGGTTAGCAAGCCAGGATATTCTTCTTCGTCCTGGGGCTCTTTTTCCCTTTAATTTTACCCTGCAAAATGCATTGGAGTAGCTCGTATCTTTAGATAACAGAGCTAAGAGTGTAGATTTTTTAAATTTATACTCTCAGCCGTTTAATGTTATCAAACGACGTCTATTTCAAAAGAGCTTCGGTAACTAACAGAAGAGTTCTTTAGAACCACATATTTTAAAGCTCAACAAGCAAAATACGGAGCAAAATTTTGACTAAAAGAAACTGTAAATAATTCTGTAAAATGTAGCAGTTCCGGGGCAGATTTTCTTTATAAAATATCTTGGACCAAGAATTGTTCAATTTTAGTATCTATTTGTCTATACATTGTTCTGATCTCTGATGTGCAAAAAGTATAAGTCACACGCGTTGGATAGAAACACATTAGAGAAAATAGTGTGAACTTGCTTTCATTCATTATAAAAGATTTCGTTAAGAACGAGCAAAAAAGTTAATTTTCAAAAAAAAAACAAGAAAAGAATTAAAGATCACTTGAGAGATATAGAATAAAAATCAACGGGGAACTACTTAATGTAATTAGATACGTGGACAATACAGTTATTCTGACAGAACATATTAAAGTTCTCCAAATTCTGCTTATAATTGTATTCACGAAGTAGAAGAGAAAATGAACATTAAAATATACTTAAACAAAACCAAATTTTTTGTACTTAGTCGTATTTTACATCCAGTTACAGGGCTTCAATCAAATGAAGTCCCGGTTGAAAAGGTTAACAAAATTACATATTTGGGAATTATTATAACGGATCAACTAGATACAGATATGGAATAGCACTTACAAAAACTACTTTTATGTAAATAAAGATATTTCCTTCCATTATTATTCTTAATTTAGAACTAAGACAAATAATGATTAAGTGCTATAGTTGGTTTGTACTTTTGTATCGAACAGAAGAGTGGACTGTAATATTATCAAGCATAAACAGAATTAAAACATTGGAAATGTGGATTTCCAGACAGATGTTGAAGATAGCTTGGATAGCAAAAAGAAGCATTTTTATAACGGGCCGTTTAATATTAGAACGTGCATTTTTAATATTAGAGCAATTCCAGTGATATTTTCTGCTGAAATGTTGACTTATACCAGGTCGTTCTATAATGTTTTTGTAAAGATGGATTCTGCGTTTGGCAAGTAATTTAATTTACAGTGTTAACAATAGGATTTTTGGTACACCGTAGTACAGAGTTTGTAAAGCACTTTAAAAACTGCGCGTAAGCTAATGAAGGGTCATAAAGGCGTTTAGTAGAGTAATCAATGCACTCTAGTTGAATTATATCGGTAAAAGGAATCTACTAATACCAGCGGATTACTTCTCGGAATGTACGTATAGGAAGAGGGTTAAAAAAGTAATATCTATACGCTCTACCTACCTATTGACTAATAGTGATATATACAAATCAGAATCGAAGCAATTGGTAAAGCTTCTTCTTCTTAACGTACCCTATCAAGTCCCCTTGACGTTGGCGATTAACATGGCGAAACTGTCTCTGTCTCGAGCTATTCTAAATAAAGCTATAAAACTAAAATAAATGCTTAACACAAATAAGTTTTTTTTTATTTTTAATACTTTGTTGAGTTTTTACTAGCATGTGATAGCAGTAGCACCAATCCGTACCGACACTTCTTGAATTTACCAGCAGTTATTTATTTACTATATCAATTATGCAAATAACTAATATACTAAATGAGTATACCAAATAACATTAATACACCGGAGCTTACCAGGTTTACTTGACACCACTATACAATTCTTTAGTTTTATGTTTACAACAATCATTGATAAGAACGCTTAAGAAAGAACACTATAGACTAAGGCTAGGCGCACACACATCGAATTTGAACGGCGATAAAAGTTCGATCGAACAAATTCCTTTGGTGGCGCGAAGAAACAAATGTGACCGTGCACACACATCGATCGACAAACGGCACGGCATCGATGTCGTGTGGAGATCGATGAATGTCACTGCATAGATGGCTGTCATGGTCGTTGCCGTCGTTCCAAGGCGTATAGTAACAAATGAACTCGCGCACACACATCGATCTTTATTGACCGACCAGAGGACCAGTTGCGTTTTTTTGACACTGCTCAAGATATGTCGCTCCGTGTTGCTACGTGGTTCTGTGTTGCTCATTGTGATGTTGTGTACTCCACCTAACAAACCTTTGTGGATTAAACAACTTAATCGACTAAATATCGCGTAGTGTGCGCGCAAGGCATCATCGACAAAAGTTCGATCGAACTTTTATCGACCGTCCAAATTCGATGTGTATGCGCCTAGCCTAAGAGCCAGAGAGAGAGAGGGGGAGCAAATGAGAGAGAGAGAGAGAAATATTTGATATTAACACTAAACATTTCTATCTTTAGCAATATTAGAAGGCTCACCAGCTACTTTTTTAAATCTCTGGAATTTGAGAACAAAACAAAAAGGATATGTAGATATAATTATCAAAGTTATGTTTTTTCTAGAAATAGTTCTACTGGGCTTATAGATCGTTAAAATTTATTTGAAATTGACACCAAAAGAAATCTCTTGGAGCTTAATATATCCCCAAACATAATTAATCCAGTTAGATCCTTGGATCTTTGATTATGTTGTTGGATTTAATATTTTTTACCTAAATACAACTATACTTTTTCAAAAGCTTTAATACCAATATAGAAGAAGTAATTTTTTAACTTTTTATTATCTAAATAATCCTCATCTTAAAACTGCTTCTACTCACTATTATCCATATCTATATTATTTCTTTTACAATCTCGTTTACGGCCAGCGGTACTATTTATTCCAGCATTTCCAAAATGTCGTTTTGTAGTCCTAAAATTAAAGGAAATTGTATAATAGAGTGTCGTTACTTTATCATCAAATACACTTAATTGGTTCAAGCTGACAGAAAGTAAATACCTTGATGAGATTATCATTTATTTATATTATTTATAATTTATTGATATATAATGTTTGTTATTAATGAAATTATATTAAACATTATTGGGCGCTCTCAGGTATTCAATGTCAGATAGAAGTACTTAAGAATTTAAAGTCAAAACGTCATGGTTATAAAATGCCACGACAAAGAACTAAAAATAAAAGAAATAAAAAATAAAAGCTTTATATTATTAGTAGATAATGCCATATAATTATTATCATATTTTTGTTTTTAATATAGGTCTGCAAATTACTTAGAAACGTGGCCATTTCCGACACGCTTCAAGTATCTGCAAAATTTACGGAAATAAATTTACGTGTTTACGGTCCTCAAGTGATAACGGCAGCAAAGTGCTTGGCCGCTGTTCCCAGCAGCAAAATTGCACAAGAAAATCTTGAAGTTTTTGCTGATATGTATCAGTGGCTTATTTCTGATGTGACGACAATGGTGAAAGATGTCATTGATGCCACACAATCGAGACCGGAGAAACAAGTTTATATGTCTCTGCCAAGACCAGGGGTAAGTTAAAATACTTTATTTGATATAAATATCTATTTTTTAGAAATTGTTTTTCTTTATGTTTGTTAAACTAAAATTTACTCTAATAGTATGGTGGTATTTATTTTCTATATTTTTATTGAGTTCACTTAGACAGTCTTCAGCTAAGCGTAATAAGAAGAACTTTCAATAGTAGCGATTTTATATTTTATAGGACTCTTTCAATGTCTCTAAATAAGTTAAATAATAAAACGATCTAGAAATATTAAAAAGTGTGTATTTACAATAATAATATGCTTTTGTATAGATACGCTATGCAACTTAATACAGTGCTATACAAAATATAAACAGCAACATTTTTTGTGGATCGATGAGTTTATTTGACCTAATTTCTAAGAGTGTACTAAGTTAAAAAATGAGTTATCAAGTGTGCTATCTTCCAATTAAACACCTTCGCGGCATACTTTAGGCAGCTTTTCTAAAAAATAAAAAATTTAACCAAAATTAAACTTAAACTAATACCAAAAATTAAATCTAGACGCTATGTCTAATTTCGTTAGTTTAAAACTAGTTTATCCTAAAGGCCGCCTATAATATTCTACACTTACCACATAACACAAAATACATACATAATATACAAACATGTAAACATGTTAGATATTTGATAAGACGAAAAGCTCGGGTTCGTTTGGACAAATATTCTTATGAGAGTCACTTTCATTAGATACCCCAAAATAGGGTTCAAGAGGTCACTCAGCTGAAAAGTTGTTAAAATTTTTTTGAAACAAATTGTAACAATCAATATTTTCGGCTGACATTTCTTTTTTCTATAGTTTTTTGTAAACTTAATCGTTTTAGAGTTATAAATAATTTAAAACTTTTAAAACTGAGAAAAACGCTAAATTACGATTTTTAAGGATCAAAAACATGAGTAAAACACATTATTTTTAAAAACTAGAAACACAAAAGGTGCTGATCTACACACGGGCAGATCTAGAAGTTCGAACAATAAAAGGAATAATTCTGGAGTATGCTGCAAGAGGAAGGGGTATAGCGAACATGCTCCTAGTCAAAAACGCTAGAAGAGGGTGAGCCAACATCAACATCAAGCCTAAAGGACAAAATGGAGTGACAATCATTATCAAAATCAAAGAAAAATCGTTTGTGTAAAACGTTTGTAATGTAAAAGTAAAGGATAGAAATACTGAGATTCCTCACCTTTTTATCTAAGCAATGGCACTGTAAGTGCAAAACAGAAGATGGAAGAAAGAAGGATGTGCTTAATATATAGGAAAGGTTACATGGCGTTGAAATACTAGGGAGAAACAATCAGATGCCTTAACTGCGATGTGACCAGACGTATGGCAAATTCAAGAAGCACGTGACTGGTTTATGAACTATGAATACGGAGATTATACAAGCCCCTTCACATTAGCGGATGATGTCGCTGCGTTGGTAGTGACGTGAATTACGGTGCAGTAACCCCGGAGGTCTATATAACAACGAGCTCTATCAACTGTATAAGGAAACACCCCTGTCAAACTTCATTAGAATCCAAAGATTGCAATGGGCCGGACATGTGATACGAATGGGAGAGGATAGGCTACCAAAACGAGCACTGAACGCCAGAATGCAGGAAAAGAGACCAGTTGGAAAGCCAAGAAAGCGCTAGGAAGACACAGTAAGCAGCGACGCACAAGCACTTTTAGGAGTCCGTGTATGGAGAAGAGCAGCCACAGACAGACAAGGGTGGAGGCAAAAAATAAAGGAGGCCAAGGCTCATTTTGGGCTGTAGTGCCGTAGAAGAAGAGAAGAAGAACCCCGGAGGTCAGCAAACTCAATCAACACTTTGTCAGCATTTAATTTTTATATAAAAGCAATTGTATTGTAATTATATTCAGTTATTTTCAATCAATAAAGCAGTGCAGTATAGTTGTAAAAGTGAATAAAGGGTCTTTTTAAAAAGTACCTTCGTGAGTTCAAACCTTTAAGTGGCACAGTGCAGTAAGATAGTGGGAGAGTCTACAGAAGATCCTCGTCGTTCTTAAACGTTTACCCGCTACGAACCTACCAACTTCAAGGGAAAACTACGGCTGTTCAACCCCAGAAGTCAACGAAAATCCAGTGTTAAAGTGTAGAAATCAATTTATATGACGAAAGACGATAAAAAGAAAGCGAAAGAAGAAAAGAAACCAGTTCCTTCGAAAAGAAATGCACCCAAGCATCATCATTTATCTGTAAGCAAATTTAATCTTTTTTCTAATCATAACTTAATCGCTTCACAAGCTTCATCTCTTAGAATTAGTAATTCTCTTTCAACTATTAGTGAATCGATTATCGAACCTGGTGCTGCTTCTATTTCGGAAAATAACTCAGCTTCTCAATTTAGTTTAAAAACCAACGTTAGTTCTTTAAATAATACTTTAAATAGCTTAGATATACCATCTATAATTATTACCCCCGCTAGTCAATTAAATACTATGGCCGTGGCACCCGCTCCCGCTTTAGTTTTCGACGTCAATAAAGATCTTTCCATCGTGCCCGATTACGATGGCAACCCTAATGAACTTCATAACTTCATTGAAGTTACTACAATGCCTCTTAATCATTTCTGGGACCACAATAATCCCGATAACTTCCAAAATCACATGATAACTCGAGGTGTAATGAATAAAATTAAGGGAAGAGCTCGAGAAATCATTTCCGTATATGGGTGTAAAGATTGGCCCACAATAAGGACCATACTAATTCAAAACTTTGCCGATCAACGTAATGAAAATTCACTTACAAGAGACATGGTTAACTTAAGGCAAGGACCCAACGAAACTCCTCAACAATTTCACGAGAAAGTAATGTCACTTTTAAACACAATTTCTAATCACATCGAACTACATACCGATAATGCAGATGTAAAGAGGAGCAAAAAGGAATTCTTTCAACAGCAGGCCCTAACTACGTTCTTAGCAGGATTACGAGAACCAATGGGATCAACCATACGATCAATGAGGCCTACAAATCTTGCTTTCGCTCTTCAATTTATCCAAGAAGAAAACAATATTAGATATTTGCAGAAAACAAATTTTTCATTGCCAAATAAGAATTCTACCCACATACAACCCCAGAGACAACCGCAGTTCACAACACCACCACAATGGCAACAACCCATGCCCAGGCCACAGTTACATCAACCATTTTTCGGAAGTAATCCAGCACCCTCCCGACCGACATTTACTCCAAGATGGCCGATACAACCCGCTCGATTCCAACCACCAAGGCAAAAATTCACGGCAAACACTCAACCTCCAAGACCTAACCCATGGGCAAGCAGACCACCACAACAGTACAAACCAACATCCATGTCTATAAGTACACGCCAAACGGGACATAACAGAGGTTCAAGCTTCAGAAACTTTAGGCCGCAGCAACAGCAACCACACACCCCAAAGTTCACCGTAGAGGAGCTGTTCAATATTGAACAACAAGACGAAAACGATACCGATGCCTACTATGGAGAACAGACATACTACTATCCAAATCAAGACGCATATTCAGATGACTACCACGTAGAAGATTACCAAAATGCCCAATACGAAGAAGAGGATATAATTTTTCCAAAACTCCAAGAGGAAAACGAAGAAACGTAGTCGAACTTAATTCTTACTCAGATAAAAAAGAACTTCCATATATCGAAATTAAAAATCCTCCCCTTAAACTTCTTCTTGATACAGGGGCAACCAAATCATTTCTTAACCCCGAAATTGCATCCAAATTTTATAAAAATTTTATCAAACATGAACCGTTTGTAGTCAGTTCAATATTTCAAAACCATTCACAGGAATATTGTGCTGAAATTCCAATCTTCCCAGAATTTAACTCTAATATTAATTTAAAATTCTACCTTTTTAAATTCCATAAAACATTTGATGGTCTTATCGGCCTCGATAACTTAAAACTTCTACAAGCACATCTTAATTTCCCAGCATCCACACTAACTACAGCACACTCAGTTTTACCTATCTTTTATTATGAAACCAACAAAACACAATTTTATACAATTCAATTGGAACCCAGAACAATCACACAAGTACGACTTCCAGTAAAACAAACAAGAGGCACCATACTTATACCAAAACAGGAAATACAAGGGGCAACTCTAAGAGAAACTCTCAGTGAAGCTTGCAATCATCTAGCCTGGACCGAAATGATCAACAATACTGATGAACCTATTCAAGTAACACTCACCGATCCTGTTAGAAGCAATCCAATAGATCTTCATGAATATCACCTGTATACCTCGGACATCATTCCAATGGAAACAGAAACAATAGTAGACAGCGATCCTCTCATCAGAACAGATCATCTAAACCCAGAAGAAGAGATGCACATCAGACGTTTATGTAGAAAATTTGCAGATATATTCCACAATCCTGATGATACTTTAACATTTACAAATCAAATAAAACACCACATAAGAACAACAGATGAAGTCCCAGTTTTCACAAAATCATATCGATATCCACACGTACATCGAGAAGAGGTCCAAAAACAAATCACATCAATGCTGGACCAAGGCATCATCAGACCAAGTCAATCACCCTGGTCATCTCCAATTTGGGTCGTACCAAAAAAACCAGACGCCTCTGGAAAAATTAAATGGAGAATCGTAGTCGATTACAGAAAGATAAATGAGAAAACTATAGACGATAGGTATCCAATTCCAAATATCACTGACATCCTTGATAAACTCGGACGTTGTCAATACTTTTCCACCCTCGATCTAGCCAGTGGATTTCACCAAATAGAAATGGCAGCGGAAGATATACAGAAAACAGCATTTAACGTGGAAAATGGCCATTATGAATACCTTAGAATGCCTTTTGGTTTAAAGAATGCACCCTCTACATTCCAGAGAATAATGGACAATGTGCTTAAAGGACTCATAGGAGAAATCTGCCTAGTATACATGGATGACATAATCGTATACTCAACTTCACTTCAGGAACACATGGTCAACCTTAAGA